TTTTTTTTTTTTTTGTATGTGTGTGTGTGTGTGTGTGTGTGTGTGTGTGTGTGTGTGTGTGTCTCTGTTGCTGCATATATTGCCGACTTGCCAAGGCTACCGTCTCCGAGTCGATCATAGACTGGGGTTGCTCTAGTCTCCATCATTGGGGGGGGGGGCACAGGGCCCCCTGCTTCAATCATCAACTAGATACCCCCCAATCTCTGTCAGGAATTGTCACCTCGGCAGCCACATCTCATGCGAGGCATCTATTCCCTCCACTACGATCCCCCTTTAGCTATGTCATCCGCTGCCCCACCCTTAACGCCCTAAGGTAGCCAAACTGAGTGATCATCCACTCCACCAGGCTGACCCAGCCAGAGATTCCTTTTCTCCAAGTCCAGCCTGAGATCAACTCGCAACGGCCAGACCACTTCACACTCTGCAACCAATCCCCGCCAGTTAAACCCAGGCCCATCCCCCTCCTGCTCCCCAAACTATGTCTGTGGCACTGTCCTACATCAGGCTGGGGGACAAGTGCCTGGCTGTCAAACTATCGCCAACTGGGCCTGCACATGACTGAGGGTTGATAGGAATCAAACCCACAACCTCTCCCTTGCCATGCCAGAGCTATAAACCACTGAGCTACCACCCCTGCCCCTTCTTCAGCACCTGGCCAGGGCCGCATAGTAGAACTCTGACCACGAGCCTGACCCTGCCTCTCAAACCTTTTCTTCCACGGACCCTGTATGTCCAAACCTTTCTCAAGGCTGGAAGCCTCGGCAGAAAAGAAACGGAGGCACCACACTGCAACCATCCTGGTCGGGATCCAACTGACGGTGGTGGCACCACCATCGTTTTGGACGGATACGACCGGGGTGTCACCAGCCCAGCCTGCAGCCTCCTTATGCACCAGCGAAAGTTCTAGCAGACCTCCCATGACTTGAGATCCCTTTTTTTGGGGGGGGGGCAACAGCTCGTGGGTCACAACCCACGTTTCCAATAGGCAAAAAAAAACACTTGTCGGCAGCTCTACCCTCGCCACACTCCAAAAAGGCAAAAATAACATTGGGCGGAGTTTCAGACATCAGGCCTGATTGAAATAGGCGCTTTTGCTAGGTTACCAGCCTGGACGTCCGGGACCTTTTTCTATCCCGGGTTGTCCGATCGGACAACTCCCCTGGTTGTTCGAGCGGTGCCTAGCGTCCGGGGTGGTGGAAATCGCCTGTGGGTCCGACAGGGTTTTCGGTCCTGCAGTGATGTTTTTTGGAGTTCGTAGTACCCCCCCGCCGTCTGCCCGATTTTAGTGAGGCCAGTAGGGCCTCCGAAAATGAGACCGAAAAAGGCCCGGTCTGGGCTGTCAGATCTAAGAGATCTACGGCCCAGATCGGGCCAAATTCAAATTTGAAATCAGCGCCGGACCTCCGTCTGCCAGCGCGTGACTTCGGCACGTCGTGGCAGCTGGGCGATGCCGAAATCGCTTGCGAACGGCCACAACCACCACATACTCCAACCCCGTTGCAGGTGCGTACCCGCCTCCTTGCTCCTCCTCCATGTCTCTCTCGTCTCTCGCCTCCTCCTCCTCCTCCTCCTCCTCCTCCTCCTCCTCCTCGTCCTCCTCCTCCTCCTCCTCCTCCTCCTTTCCCTCCATCCTTTCCTCCTCCTCCTCCTCCTCTCCGTCCACTTCCTTCTGCTCCCCTTCCTCATTCTTCTCCTCATCTTCTTCCTCCTCCTCGTCCTCCATCTCCACCTCCTCATCGTCGTCCATCACCAGCGTCCTCCTCCTCCTCCTCCTCATCTTCTTCCTCATTGAATTTCTCCTTCTCGTCGTCCTCCTCCTCTTGATCCTTCTCTTCTTCTTCGTCGTCGCCGTCCTCCTCCTCTTCTTCTTCGCCATCCTCCTCCTCCTACTCCTCTTCTTCCTGCTCTTCTTCTTCTTCCTCCTCCTCCTCCTCCTCCTCCTCCTCATCCTCCTCATCCTCCTCATCCCCCTTGTCCTCCTCCTCCTCCTCCTCCTCCGCCTTCTCGTGTTCTTCTTCATCATCCTCCTTGTCGTCCTCGTCGTCGTCGCCCTCCTCCCCTTTGAATGCCTCCTCCTCCTCCTCCCTCTCCCTCTCATCCTCCTTATCCTCATCCCGTCTGCGACTGTGTCGCCATCCCTACCCCCCCAAGCTCTCGCCATCGTCCTGTACTTCGTCGTGTATACTCCCCTCCTTTGTTTTTTCAATCAATCAGTCAATCAATCAATCAATCAATCAATCAATCAATCAATCAATCAATCAACCAACCAACCAACCGACCGACCGACCGATCGACCGATCCATCCATCCATCCATCCATCCATTCATTCATCCATCCAATCAATGGATTGGATTGCATCTCGAAAATCCAATAGATTTTCAAGACCCAATCCAATCCATTGATTGGATCGAATGTTGATTGATTGATTGATTGATTGATTGATTGATTGATTGATTGATTGGAAAAGAAGAAAAAAAAAAAAGAGGGCGGGTGGACGGTACCAAGTCCGATCTTCTCTCTCATCCTCCTCCTTTACTTCTTCTCCCTATCTACTTCTTCTCCATCCTTCTCCTTGTCATCCATAGTTCGCATCCATCGTCGTGGCCCGATCCTGCTCCCTTTCCTCCTCACCCGCCGCCTTCGGTTCTTCTTCTTCCTCCTCCCCCTCCTCCTCCTCCCAGTAGTCTTCTTCTTCTTCCTCCTCCTCCTGCTCCTCCTCCTGCTCCTCCTCCTCATCCATCGTCATGCCACGATCGTCGTCGCCATTCTCCTCCTCCTCCTCCTCCACCTCGACCATCGCCGTGCCATGATCGTCGTCGCCATCCTCCTCCTCCTCCTTCTCGTAGTCTTGTTCTTCTTCTCCCTTCCTCCTCCTCCTCCTCCTCTTCTTCCTTCCATTCTTCTTCGTGCTCCTCCTCCTGCTCTTCCTCCTCCTCATCCCGTCCGCGGCGGTGTCGCCATCCATACCCGTTCAAATCCCCACATCACCTTTTCGCCATCATCCTATACGCCATCGTGTGTACTCCCCTTACCCTTTATTTTTTTTTTTCAATCAATCAATCAATCAAGCAAGCAAGCAATCAAGCAATCAAACACTCAAACAATCAAACAATCAATCAATCAATCAATCAATCAATCAATCAATCAATCAATCAATCAGTTATTCATTTATTCATTCATTCATTCATTCGATTCAATCAATGGATTGGATTGGATCTTGAAAATCCAATACATTTTTAAGATCCAATCCAATCTAGTGATTCAATCGAATGTTGATTGATTGATTGGTTGATTGATTGATTGATTGATTGATTGATTGATTGATTGATTGATTGATTGATTGATTGACTGACCGATTGATTGAATGATTGATTGATTGAAAAAAAAAAAAAGGCGGGCGGACGGGACCAAGTCCGACCCTCATCTTCTCCCTCCTCCTTCCACTCATCCTCCTTTACTTCTTTTCCCTCCTCCTCCTTTACTTTTTTACCCTCCTCCTCCTCCTCGTCCATCGCCGTGCCATGATCGTCGTCGCCATGTGTGTGTGTGTGTGTGTGGATAGAGTTCGTGCGAGTGTGCATATGTGTGTGTATGTGTGTGTCTGTGTGTGTGTTGCATGTGTGTGCGAAAACTAGACTGTGTGTGTGTACACTGTGCATAGTGTGTGTGTGTGTAGATACCAGATTGTGTGTGCAGAGACTGTGTGTGTAGTCACATGCAGCAGCTGCAGCAACGGGCCTTCAAGAACACTTTTAAGGTTTCCACCCCCTTCCCTACCCTTGGCACCATTTTTCTTTTTTTTCTTGCTCCAAATGGCCTCAAAAGTTTTTTGGGGGGTCCCCTGGTGGAGCGCAGCCCCCCCTCCTTTTTTTTTTTTTTGCTTTCCAGATAATAAAAAAAAAAGGATATCTGGCCAGGACGTCGGCCAGGACAACCGGCCATCGGACAATCGGTAGCCTAACACTTTGTCATTTTCCGGACTTTTTTTTTTCACGCATGGCCTAGACGTCTCGGTCGTGACCTTAACATCTGAGCCATGACCCAGCCCAGCCGTAACCTAGACATCTCGGTCGTGGCCCAGCCTAGCCGTAGCCTAAACATCTCGGCCATGGCCCAACCAGACCGCAGTCTAGACATCTCGGTCGTGGCCTAAACATCCCAACCATGACCCAACACGGCTGTAGCTAGACCTCAGCCGAGGCCCCGAGGAAAAGAAAAAAAAAAGTCGGCCAAGGCTGCGACCGTGCGATCGTCAGATCGTGCGGCCAAAAATAGATGCAACGAAACCAACATGGCCCCTTCATAAGGATGACAGGCATAAATCGAGAAAGAGTCTTAATTTTTACTTTCGATTTCCCTTTGATTCCATGGAATCGGACTCCAGTCTGTGAGTGTTCGCGAAGGCACTAGAAATGAGAAACCACCGTTGGCAGGAAACCAACGAACAGGGGAAAAAAGAAAAAAAGGGAGATTAAAAAGGTGTCAAGTGGTGCTTTCTTGAAAAGCTGGGAGCTCCAGCTCCAGAGTTCAAGACGGGCACCAGTTTCTACGGGCAGCCTGTAATTGTTTTAGGTGAATTCTTCTTTTTTTCTTCTTTCCTTCTTTTTTTTCCCTTTCTTTAGTTGTTAGATTCCCTCTCCCTACCCCCTGGTTGTCGTGGCAACGACGAGGCAGCTCCCCTATGGCTGTGGCTCCATGTGGTGCTGACCCTCGCCATGTTTCAGTGGAAGATTGATATGGTGAATGCAACTTCTTAGGGCTTGGCCCTACCACGTGCTTTTTTTTTTTTTTTTTTTTTTAAGACTCAGTGGACCCTAATAGGTTGGGTGATAAGAGCATCCCATCCTACTAGAGCCCATACAGGTCACTCCACCCATTGGTGGAGAGCTGCACCTGCTAGAAACCGGGTCCAGCGTCCCAATAGTACAATGATGCTTGAATCAAGAAGGAGAACATTGTTTTTGTGGAGGATGAATCTGAGCCTCTTCACCTTAACAGTGGTGCCAGATGTAGCGTTTCTTCCTAGCTCAGAAAAAAAACCTTCCCTTCTACCATAATGAGATGCCAACTCAATCATAACCATACCAAGACCTGGGGACTGCAGCTAATGGGTGTGGGAGAAATAGGTGAGGGAAGTCATACGCAGGGCGCATAGGAATGGACGGATCCACCGAGGTCCAATCTTCAAAATGCAAGCGATAGTTTCTTTTAATGACCTCATCCTCCCCTCCTGTTGCCCCTTCCCAGACAATTCTTCCTAATTTCCCACCCTGGATTCCCCCAAGCCAGCATTGATAGAAATTTTGAATATATTCGAGGATTTCCTTATCTTTAGATAAATGTGGGAATTTTTCTGTTGTCTTTTCTCACACATATAAAATGACCGTTTGGATTTGTTGTTTAATGGATTTTGTGAATTATGGTCCGTCAAGACGAGCACCTTCCCATTCAAAAGTACATCTTCTTCTCCATATGGCCCAAAGGACGGCTCTCCTTCCTACAATGAAGAGGTTTTGTGTGAAGTCATCATATGGATTCGAAACCCAGGATTCTAGTAAAATTGTCTTCCAACCCCATGGCCACTGAGCTTGAGTCTCTAATTGACTCCATATACGGTCCCACCATCTCCATAACCAAACTGCCCCTGGGCACTGTAAGAATATATGTTCTATAGTTTCAGGAAAAAAATTACTTGGAAAAGCAGTCCTACAAAACTTACACCACGGGACCGCTACTCCCCTTTGCTCCAAAAATGATCTCTCAATCAACCAATCATTGGTAGGGAGGCAACAATGTTCAATCTGCCATTGCAGAGAGGCTACCTTTGCTGGTCCATATTTCATAATGTTAAACCATTTGATTGATCTAAGCTCCACTCTACTTAGGTTGAGATGCTTCATCCACCTTGTCAAGACCACATCCCTCAAATTAATATTTGGCCGAAACATTCGATAAGTAGATTTGACCGTCAAGGTATGGAGTCTATTATGATATGATCGTCCTTTTCCGACTGAGGAATTCCAGATCCAGTCTTTTGGGTCTAGTGCCAGGTGAGAGATTGGTAAAGTCGGTCTGAATGCGATCAATGTGTTTTTCTGTTGCATAACCCGAATTATGAAGATCTGATCGCCTTTCACCCATTTTATCTCCACTTGTTGGCTTGGATTTACATAATTATCCTGTGTTAGATCAAAAAGAGATAAAAGAATATCCCTATTTGTATATTTGTCAAAGATGTTGCCAATCAAGCTAGGATAGTCTCTAAAAGCTACCTAGTCATTGACCTTCAACTTAGACCCTTTACGTAAGATACGGATCCATTCTAAAGGAATGAGCTCTATTACGTTTTCAAGTTTAAACGCCTTATCAGGGTGGTGGCAATAACGCAATTGACTGTGTAGATCCTTGGTAGTAAACCAATCATTAGTTACTGGGTTTCATAGATCTTTGATCCTGAGGATTCCTCTTTTTACCTTAGTCCGCCAGGGGGAATCCATGCAGTGTAGAACATATCCTTGAGCATCTCTAATCCAATTGTTATTAAATAGTGGTTGCTGACATACTTCTTCCCATCTTTCAGGCTGCATTTTATCTGGTAGAGGTATTTTCTCCATGTTTTAAGCAGGGTGATCCAGAAGGAGTCTTTACACAGATCCAGTCTTGCAGCTTGTCGATCTGAGATTACTTCACCATCATCTTCCTTCACACAACTTCTAGGCAGAGACCAAGATCGATTTTCTAGCCACATCAACGAGTTTGTGCCTTCTGGTGTAGGGGGAGTTAATCTTCTGATATGTTCCCATTCGAGTGCATTCCAAGGGGTTTGGGGATTAAAGAGCAGTCTCTTGATCCATTGTATGGACAAAGTTAAAGCTTACGTGGTTGGGTCAATGATTCCCAATCCGCCTCTAGATTTTGGTTGGATCACTGATTTCCATGCTACTCTACTGATAACATTAGTGCACTCGTGACTCTTAATTGTTGTTAGAATTTTTTAGTGGCTCGTTTGTCTAAGGCCCATATCGCTGATTTGTACCATATAGAGGCCATGACAACATTATTGATGACAAGAGTGCGGCCTAACATTGAGGTATGTTTATTTTTCCATAATTCTAGCTTTGTTTGCGCTTATTGCATAGTCCAATCATTATTGGATTTTGGTTTCCCCTCAACCGTTAAAGCAATACCTAGTATTCTGATATGATTATCCCTGGGCAACCATTTGACCTTAGGCTGTTCTGGAGGTCGCACTCCTTAATGATGAATCCACCACCCCAGAGTTTTACTACCCCAATTAACTTTCATATTTGATAAGCGACAAAATTGCTCCATTAACTTTTGAATTGCTATCATATTTTCATGAGAAACATCAATCATTAGGGAGAGATCATCAGCAAAGAGAGAGCATATTGGGATTGCCTCCTCCGGGATCGATGTTATCTGGATCCGCTTTATATCTTTATGCGTACGCAGATTTGCTGCTAGCGCTTCCATAATACTGACAAATAAGAAGGGAGCAATTGGGTCACCTTGTCTAACTGATCTTTGTAGAGGAATAGGGAGAGCTACATTACCATTAACCATAACTCTGGTGGTAACATTCTTGTGCAAAATCCCTATCCATCTTCTTAAACTTGGACTAAAGTTGAATTTTTCCAAACACTTATCAAGAAAAAACAATCCACATGATCATATGCTTTCTCAAAATCAATAAAGATGAAAGCGGTATTGTGTTTAGATTGGCATGTTAGTTTCATAAGTTCATTTATCAAAAGCACATTATCCTGTATATTTTTTCCATTGATAAAACCAGTTTGTGCTGGGTGAATGATATCTGCTATTACTTTAGTCAGTCGATCAGCTAATGCTTTAGCAATCATTTTATACACAACTGTTAGAAGAGTAATAGGCCGATAATTGCTAATATTTGTCTTTTCTCATTTTTTGTATAGAGGCGTTAGAACCTTTTGTCCCACGAATTCTCCCATTTCCC